GGGAAAAAAAAAAAAAAAGAACCTAAAAATTTGATTTTTTAATTTTTTGTCTCATTGAAAATAAAATTTTTTAATAAGTCTGATGACATTGGTACCATGTTGTTTCCTACACAACGATGAGCAAAATAAAATACAAGCACCGCTAGTTTTTTACGGAATATAATGTCATTTGTTTAAAGGACTTATTTTCCATTATTTAAGAGTTTAAGAGGTCACTAACGGTCTAAATAATTAATGTTCATCTTTTTTTGTTGAAAGTAAGAAATTCTGAATTTGAATCATATAACATACAAGTGAAATAAAATAAGTAATAAGAGATGGTTGCTTCCCATGCAATTAAGATAAAAAAAAAGTTTAAGAGGTCATATACTGCTGAAATTAGGGGTTAATCTGCCACCAATCAACAAGTTGAAGGGTTATTTTGCATGATTCACCGTGTTGGGATTGCATCACGCACATACATCGCCTTGACTTAATAGATGCCTTCCTGCTCCTCCACGTTCCGAGACTGGTCTAGAAAATTAGTTACACTTCACTCCTTTGATTTAGTTAAAGATGCTTGATGGTCATGACCAAGTTGCATTGGTCGTCTTCGGCTTGAGTTGGCTCTTCATAGGGACTATTACTTCAGATTCTCACAAAAGCTCTGTACTTTTCCCGCACCAATTTAATAATTAGAGCAATTCTGGATTTACTAAGTTTAGAATTTGTTTGGTTTACATGTGAATGCGATATAATAAACAAAAGACTCATCTAGTGACAGCAAATACATGTAATGAGAAAACAACACATCCAAGAAAGAGATAGTAATCATTCCAAACAACACATACAAGTAAAGCCAATAATCATTCCAATTATCATTGCGATTTATTTTAGCTCAATCCTACATACATTGAGAATGACATTAAACCCCATATGTAAAATAGAAGGCAACCTTCCATCACAGTGACAGTTTTTCCCCTCAGAACCACTCTCCGGTTATGTTTGTCCAAATGAATGTTTATGATTCCCCCTCTAGGTGATGCCTAAGCAAAGATACACGACACAATCAATATAAAAAACAATAATCAGTTAATAACAACTATGATTTCTATGTCCGTGGGAGGTGTGGTTGTGTGTGTGAGAGAGAGAGGATACCTCACAAGCAATGAAGTCGCACTTCCCTTGCTTTTGGCTCCAGTATGGTGTCAAGACACAATGTGCACTCCCACAAACAGGATCCTGAAAAGTGCGACGCAACATGATTTTAGACAGCTATTGATAGACTGTTCCTTTGCTTTATATATATCAATAAAAAATGATCCAATTCAGGAAGGAAGGGTTGAATCAACAGTTCGTCAAGGTAAGGCTCAGATGCCCTTTTAAGTTTAAATACATGCATACGCATTCATTCCCAATTCCAAACACTGAATTGGAACTTGAAGCTGAATTGATATATCTTATTTTGTTATTTACAGTAGCATCTATGTTTCAGTTATCAGACTTTTGATACTTGCAGATTTTGGAGACATTCTCGGCAATTTATAAACAAATTTTCCTTCCAGGGGCCAGATAATATGTCTTTATGTTGTGTCCATGCCAACAAAGGTTAAAACTTAAAACACAAGGTGTTACATCTAAATAAGTTCAGTTATCATAGGTGCTTAAAAGTTAGAAGATAAGAAAAAAAAAAAGAGGAAAAATCAGAGACCTGGATTGCTGTGTATTACCTCATTGATATACCTTCCCTTGGGAAGAAGACTTGGCTAATGAAATCAAATCCGGACTCTGGAAGAGCAATGCCTGAGACAATTAAGTCGCGTCAACAACATTTTTGTATGGCATCAATTTGTGGTTGTTGTAGTTCAATAACATCTTTTCCAGATGGTAGCACAACCTGCAAAAATGCAGCACTCGCTTCACTCTCATGTCAGTATAGAAAACTACAAG